TATTTGTTTTTCTCTTATTTGCTCATAAAGTAGAGATGCATATTTAAGTCCATGACATCTTGAAGCAATAGGCTAAGAGGGATCCATGTGTTCGCTGTGTGAAGGGGAAGGTAGCATTACATAAGAGGGAGCAGAGAAATCAAGGTAGGGCACGCTCTTTGGGGTATTGACAAGTAACCCAAAGTGCTGCATACAACAGTTGTCCTGAAATGTCAACCCCACCTACTTCACAATGATTTTTTTCAAGTAAAGAAAATATGAAAATAGCAAGAAGTAAATAAATCAATGTCCTCTCAGATATGATGAACTTTGGTATGAAATTTGTGGTATATAGTTTATAAATCTCACCTATCATATGCATGATTTTCCTTACAAATATTAAAAGAAAACTTTTTTAAGTGAGTAATAATTTTTCACATTAATTTTGATTTCTATGATTGGTAGTCATTTTGTATTTGAGTCACTTATGGTTTTTACATTCAAGACCGTTCTGTTACCAGCATCTGGGCACTCTGAAAGTTCCTGGAAAGCAGCTGTCTGCCATATCTTGGGAAGGAGGGGGGCTAAAAATTGCCCTGGCTGTGGATTCCTTTATATATTTTGCAAATATTCGACCAGATTACAAGGTTAGTATTAAGAGCCTTTTATAAAACAGTACTCATATTTTTATTTTTTTAGTACTCATATTTTTAAAAGAAATAATTCTGCATTAGCTCCACGTATATTTCTAGGATATATTTGTAGCTGCTTTGGTGTTCAAAACTCGCAGAAAGGAGGCTTTTCTCATGTCACGGCATGACGTGATGAGCACCCCGTCTGTGGTGTCCTTCCCGCAAACTCATTCTAACCAGGGGAGAAACCACAGACAAACCCACATTGAGAGGCATTGAACGGAAGACCTGCCCGGCACCCCTCCAAGGGTCCTGGTCACGGAAAGCAAGCAAAGATGAGGAACTGTCTCAGCACAGAGAACCATGGAGACGTGATAATTAAATATAGTAGATCCTGGATTGGATTCTGGACTTGGCCAAAGACATCAGGGCACAGCTAATGAAATCCAAACAAAGTGTTGAGTTTATAGTAATGATTAGTGTTGGTTTCTGAGCAGGACAATTGTACCATGATAACATTGACAATAGGGGGGAACTTCATGAGGGCTTATGGGAACGCAGAACTGCCTTTGCAACTTTCCTCTGAAATTTTTAAAGTAAAAACTTTATTTTAAAAATTTATCATTGTACAAAATGCTAAACATAGCTTAGCATTGAGTAATCTATACAATCATAGTAATATTAACATTGACTATTGCTTTATTCATAAATATAATGTGAATATATAGGGAAGGTGGAAGGAATAACATTAAGTATAAGATAGGGAAAGGGTACCTGAGAGCTAAGTTATCTTCTGTAATCAGAACCATAGTTGATAGATTAATACCAAATATGGATGTGGGAATAGATATCTTAACAATTTCAGTTATAAGAGTTTATAGATGGACACCTTGGAGAAGAAATTGGAGTGGGAACATTTGAATTAATTTTTGGTTTATATACTATAGTATTTGATTAGATACTATGTACATATGTTGTCATTCTGATGAAAACAAATATTGACAATGTGGATAGGATAAAATGGAAAGGCAACTATTTTTGAATTTTGGCCTGGGAACCTAGACTTAAAACATTTGATAGGGTCAATTACTCTTCTCTCAACTAGCACTGCTAAACATTAAAAATCTGAAAACTTCACCACTGAAATGTAACCAATTAGAGTAAGGAAAGTTAAATAGGCTAAATTTATTTGTATGGCACATTGTTGTTTTTTTTAAAAGATCTTGATTAATTTTAAGTCCAAAATATAATTTTAGTGAATAAAAGTATTCAGCTAAATGTTTAGTCCTCTGTCTTCAATTTCTAAAGAGTAGAATGTTTGTCAGTATTAGTAAGCCATATATTACAGTATTTCTACAGTAAATAAGGAATACACGAGTTTTCTTTCTCAGTACTAAATATGTTTCTCCCTCTCCCTTCCTTTCTCACTCCTTCCCACTCCTCTTTCTTTCTCTCCCTTTCTCTATTCTTACCCCTCCCTTCTTTTTCTCACTAGTGGGGCTATTGCTCAAATACTGTAGTTTATGCATACACCAGACCTGATCGACCAGAGTATTGTGTCGTCTTCTGGGATACAAAAAACAATGAGAAATATGTTAAATATGTGAAGAGTCTTGTTTCTATTACTACCTGTGGAGATTTCTGTATTTTGGCCACTAAAGCTGATGAAAATCATCCTCAGGTAGGTAGGCGTTTCTTGCTATCTTAAAACATAGGTAGGTCAAGCACTTGGCAGAGTTGAGCTGTGATGATCAACCTTCTGTAGCCTGATCTCTATACTGGCAGCTGCATTAAAGCCAGGGGTCTGCTCACCAACCCTGTCTAGACATCTGTTTGGAAACCTATTTGTCTTCATTGGTTTTATGTCTCCTGATTTTTTTCCTTTCCATTTTGGCTGATGCAGTGAAAATTCATATTAACTGCTCAGGTCTTAACATTTTTGTCTTTCAGAATACATAAGACACCAAAATTCTTTTTCAAGTTAAAATTTCATAACCCCAAAATGAATAACCAGATGTGTAGTACAAATACTCAAGAAATGATGTAACAATGACCATTTCCAATGATTTGGGTTGCCTTTGATGATGAAAACTGTACTTTATTTGGGACATATAGCTCTAAATAGCAGTATTTTAAAGAAATAAATACTACAAACCGCATCTTTTCAAAAACATACTACTAGTTTCTTTGTGTTATAAATTATATATTTTATTTTATTAGGAATAAAAGTTTGGTTAAAGGTGGCAGTTTGAACAACCACGTTTGGCTCTGTTGTAATGCTTACTAAAACATCAGTGAAGGTTTTATTGTTTGTTTGTTTAAACATATTCCCGTGAAGGTCAGAAGTAAAAGAAAATGGCAACATAATTTTGGAGGCTAGAGGATGTATAGATGAGTGATGATCACCTTTGCTGACCTCACACAGCTGAAGCCTAAGCCTGAGGTGGAGAGAGCAAAGACTATGCAGGGGTACCTAGGGGGAGAGACAAGCAAACAGAAAACAGGAAGGACCAGAGGTCATTCAGGAAGACGGAAACACAAAGAAACAAAGCATATCATGAAACAGATTCCCAGAACCCTTCCCCACAGATTGCACTCATGTTGTTTGTTGTCTATCAGGGGCCTTCGAGCAACCCTATGTGCGATAGAAAGAAGCCCTCTGCCCTGCCAGGCCCTGCCCTCCCAGTTATTGTTCTGTTTGAGCCCTTTGTTGTAGCCACTGTGTCAGCCCGTCTCATCAAGGCTCTTCCTCTTTTTTGTTGCTCTCCTACTTTCCAAAACATGAGGTCCTTCTCCAGGGACTGGTCTCTCCTGGTAGCATGTTTGGAGCACATGAGACAGTCTCGTTCTTGTCTACTTAGCAAGCTCAGCATTACGGTGGACTGAGAGGCACTAATCTCAGAGGAGGGTGGAGAGCATGTGCGTAAAATGGAGCAATTCACTTAACTTAAATTTTTACTCCTCAATTTTACTTCCAGCCTTCTTTTCCCATTTGGTTCCCAGCATATTGGCAACCAAACATAAATCTTTGAACATGTTTTTCTGTAGGGAGTAGGAAATGGGAACTTATGGATGACTTGCTGTTTTTAGTTAGAAGTCTTAACTCGTTGTCATTAAACCACAGGTATGTAAAACATTGATAAAAATGAATTTTAAAGATATTAATTTATTGTGTTTTGGGTGAAAGTTCATATATTAAATCAGGTTCCCATTTGATTATTTCCATGTAGTTGTTTAGTAACAGCAACATTGGTAGTGTCTCCATAAGGTGGCGACACATCCATCATTTCTATTCTGGTTGTCTTGTTTTCATTACTTCCTCAATTTCTTGCGCCCTCTCCCCCATTACCTTCTCATCTTTGCTTTAGAATGAATATTGACCATTTGATCTTATCTAGAGGAACATAGTACTTGCAGGTGATATTGTTGATTTTATAAGTCACTCTGTTATTTACCTGAATATGGGAAATGATTTTTATCTTTTAATTGATGTTTGTGAAATAAACAAGTTTTACTTGTGAGACAAAGTCTATAGTTACCTGTAAATAGTACACCAAAAATTGGTTTCTTTGAAATTGTTAGTTTAGCCAGGAAAGCATCATACAGGAGAGTGACTAACACAGAGAAAGACGAAATTAGCACTTGAGAGCAATATGACGTAAAGTGTGCATTATGCGTGGTTATTTTTTCTAATACTTAGCATTGATAATTATGTGTGGTGATAACTAACTAATGGTCATTTTAGATCTTTTTCAGTAGATTGGATTGTGTCTTTTTTCAATTAACGTATTTTTTCTTCTGGATTTCTCATTTGATTTATGTATGCTTCAAAGGAGGAGAGCGACATGGAAACATTTGGTGCAATGGTAACGAATTAAGTTAGCTTTTACGGAGCTGACTGGGTTAGAAAGGAATCTTAGGCTGATCGATAATCGGGAATTTCAGAGGCATATGTAATGAAAAATTGCCAGTGTATTTAAGTTCCTTACATTTACTCTCAAACATCACAGTGTTAAATTATACTGAAGCTCCTTTGGTATAATTTTGATTCGTCTTTATCTTTAAGTGTCTAGATTATCTTTTTCTTTCTTATTTTTTGCTTCAGACAGTTTTTAGCAATTTCTTAGTGATACTTGAAAAAGAGATAAGCATGGTACGAGTGAAGTGTTCTTTTCTGTACTGCACACGAGCAGGAGTGCTGATCCTCTTTGTCTTCTTCGTTGCAGTTTGTGCTTGTTCTTTGTAATTCTATTGGCACACCTTTGGATCCCAAATACATCGATATTGGTAAGAAAATGTTCATATGATTCCTCTGTAATCAGACTTTGTTTGTTGCACAGGTTTAAAGACCTCCCAGTAGTATAATTAATTAGATCACTGTTCTTTTAAACTGGATGCTTGGTCTGTTATATCAGTTTAAGTCTGTTATCTTGGTGGAATTACAACAGTGTCCCCTTTCACTCTCAGAAGTGGTCTGATTTAGACAATACCTTTTAAGGTCATTGTGTTTACAAACAAACTATGACAGTTTTATGATTGCAATGCTACTGTCTCTTTTTAAATGGGAAATATGACTGTACAGGAATTGGTATGCATTGCAATGATTAGTATGCAGTGATCACACTTATTATTCATAAAATACTTATAAATACCTCTTCTCCAAGAAAACACTTTAGTTGCTTGTAAAAGTGAGTCTGTCCTTTCCAGATTTGCTTATGCATTCAGTCTGTTAACAAGGACAGCTTTAAAAATCCATGACTTTTTATTTTTTAAGGCACTTTTTCCAACTTTAGAGTTATTAGTCATCTGTCCAGTAGCTGTGAAAGTAATCATTTCAAAAGTTTCAAATCTTATTTCATTACAAATAGCTAATAGAGATTTTGTTGCCATTTTCTGAGACCTTTCAGAAGTACTGGTTTGCTCTTAAAATGGATACAGTATTTAAACAATTAGTAGATTTTACAAAGGTGAGGTCCCATTTAATTATTTCTTGACTCCACGAACCATTGTTTATTCATTCTGTCCTCCATCTTAGTCAGATCTTAGTGTCTTCCCTTCTAAGCGGTTTCAGTTTGCTGAGTTCTCTGGGTGATACGAGCAAAGTGGGCAATATTGGGCTTTGACATTTTGCTCTCATTTCTAGTGCCATGGGAAATCACTCACTTTTATTCTGAAACCACTCACTTTTTTGTACTAAAACTATCAGCTTTATATCTTATGTTTATCTATTTTTCATCGATATAACAAAGTATGTTTCTGTATATATGTATACATGTTAGTGTTCCCTGACAAAAGTATAGTTTTAAATTATTACAGAATCCTAAATAATTATAATGAGTTGGCCCCGGTGGTTTTATAGTATAATAGTACTTTTATCGTACATCACATACATTTCTTCCATTAGTTAAAAATGTAAGAGTTCATCATCTCAGAAGTAAGTTCTGTCTCTATTTAGATTATATGCTTTTTCTTTTAATATCAGAGTTTTAATAGAAAATCATGCCGATGGTAGGTTGGTGCCCAGTGTAATTTTATTCCATGTAGTCTGTGTTTTTAAAAATAAAATTAGATGTAAATTTGTCACCTTCATAAACTAGCAAATTCTTGAGGATATGACTTATTTGCATTCTTGAAATGTTTTTTTTCAGTCTCACTGGCTGAAATTTTGACAAGCAGTTCTTTCAATGGTTTATAGTAAAAGATCAAATAGCCAAGGACCAGCCCTTTTGCTTCATACAAAGCCTTTAAAATTCCTTTTTTTTTTTTGTTACATTTTTCTGTCAAATTTTCTTTAGGACCAGAGGCTAAAACAAAAAATGCAGAATGTATTATTTTTAAAAGTATCATTTTTGTTTTGTTTTACTCTTCATCCTAATTTCTGTAGAAATGTTGAAAAGGGGGAGCAAGGGGGGAATGAGGAGCTGATAACAAGGGCTTAAATAGAAACTAAATGTTTATAAAATAGTGATGGCAACATATGTACAAATATGCTGATACAATTGATGTATGGGTTGTTATATAAGAGCTGTAAGAGCCCCCAATAAAATGATTGTTAAATAAAAAATAAAAAATACTAGTCCTGAAATAGAAATAATAATTGGCATAAAAAAAGAAATGTTGAAAAGAACTCTGTATTATTATACATAATAATTATGGTTCTCTGTTGTATTCTACACTGAAGTTTTAGGCACCCATTTTTAGTCTTCTTCCTTTCAGCCTTCCTAATGCTTTGTAATTCTTATCAGTGTACTTTTTACTCTGCACTGTGACTATTAATTTTTCCTGTGTGCTACTAGTAGGCCACTGGAGATCCCCTTGCAGAGGGGTCTCGGGGAGGGGATGAACCAGTCAGGGTGCAATGTAACAACGATGAGAAATACAACTTTCCTCTAGTTCCTAAATGTTTCCTCCCCGCTTCCACTACCATGACTCGAATTCGACCTTGCAAGTCTGGCTAGACCAGAGGATGTACACTGGTAGATAGGAACTGAAAATACAGGGCATCCAGGGTGGATGATCACTACAGGACTAGTGTGAGTGGCAAAACAGGGAGGGTAGAGGGAGAGTGGGTAGGAAAGAGGGAACCGATTACAAGGAACTATATGTGACCTCCTCCCTGGGGGATGGACAGCAGAAAAGTGGGTGAAGGGAGACATCGGACAGGACAAGATATGACAAAATAACAATTTACAAACTATCAAGGGCTCATGAGGGAGGGGAAAAATGAGGACCTAATGCCGGGGGTTTAAGTGGAGAGAAAATGTTTTGAGAATGATGAGGGCAATGAATGTTCAAATGCGCTTCACACAATTGATGTGTGTATGGATTGTGATAAGAGTTGTATGAGCCCCTAATAAAATGATTAAAAAAATTTTTTTTTCCTGTGTGACTTTACCGCTAGATTTTGAGCTTTTAAAAGTAGTATTTGTGCTTTACTCATTTATGTATTCTCACTACTTAACTCTACCTAAATGCCTAAATATTTGTGGAGTACAAGGAAACTGTTTATTTTCTACCATGTAAATAGAAAATCATCAGACCCATATTTAGTAAATCACCAAACAGTACTCAAATTCTATACTGTTTCAGGTTCTATACTGGGCATGAGTGTGATAAAAATTAATGATGACAATTCCATTTACTTTGAGAAGGTTTCGTTTGATCTGGGTTTTGAACATCAAGTACAAGGGGTCTTCCAAAAAATCTATGAAAAAATGGATTGAAAAGATATTGACATTTGTCCATGAACTTTTTGAAGTGCCTTGTATTTATTCAGTTTGCATTTTCAGGAGAAAAACCATACGTTTTCAGAAGAATGGAAAGCTCCAGGTTGTCTGCGCTGCCGTCATTTTGGCGGTGGCAGTACAGGTGGCTTATGAATGGCATGTGCACTAAATTTTCCACGTAGCCTAAAGAATGTTGTTTTGATGAAGACATTACAATGAAGTATCAGTTCACTAGTTCTTGAAAAGGCTGGGAAATGGTAGGAAAGAGGGGTGTATTAGAGATGTGAATGTGTTCATTTATTTCAGGCCTCGACATTTCAGTATTACAAGCAGATTTTATTTATATATAATTTCTTAAGTGGTTTTAAATGATCTAATAATAACTAGTATCTATAATGTTACAAATGGAGCCCTGGCGGCACTGTCAGGTAAGCATTTGACTGCTATCCACAAGGTCAGTGGTTCAAACTCACCAGCCACTCTGCAGGAGAGAGATGAGCCTATCTCTTCCCTTAAAGGCTTATGGCCTCAAAAACCCTGCATAGGGTTGCTATGAGTCAGAATTGATTCAATAGCAGTGGGTTTTGGTTTTGTGATTAGTGTTATAAAATTCTATTAATAGGATTATTATTTTCTTTTCTTTTTTTTCCTAATAATCTAAGTATTTGCATATTTGCCCCCAAATATTGAAGAATTGAGAAGGGTATGAGGCTTTTAACTTTTATACTGATTGTATTCTTTTCCTACAATATTGACTCTTAAATTTATTTAAGGTGGTATTTTCTCTTAAAATAATTTTAAATGATTTTTTTTTCTTGGCACTATTCTTTTGAACAGTGATTATTTTCCTAGAAGCTCAGTGTGGGTGGATGGGTCTTTTAAAGAAGATATTTTAGTAAAGATTTAGCACAGTGTATCTCAAAGTGGGCCATTGCTGCCCCTCGGGGTCCTCGGATAACCCAGGGGTGGCTGCACAAGCAGATGCCAACACTGTACTCTGATTGTGGGCAGTAGTACCCAAGGGTTTAATTGCCAGAGGGCCCTGAGTAACTTTTTTCGGAAAGGGAAATAATAGGCCAAATAAGTTTGGGAACCTGTGATTATAGCATGTTTAATGTAGATAGGTTTATCTACTCATGCAGATTTACTGAAATTTATATCACATGAATTCAAGAAACAATCATGTCAGACATTATTAGGAATTTTTTTTTTTAATTTTAGAAATGACTAAAGTCAACCCTACTGGTATAGTGGTTACATGTTGGACTGTTAACTACAGGGTCTCACCGGTTTGAAATCACCAGCCACTCGCTCTGTGGAAGAAAGACAAAGCTTTCTACTCTGTAAAAAGTTACAGTCTCAGAAACCCATAAGGGCAATTCTACCCTGTCCAGTAGGGTTACTATGAGTTAGAATCCAATTGATGGCAGTGAGAGCATTGTTCATAGCTTTATTGTAAGATCTGTGTTGATAATAAAAGTAGCAGCATCCGTATCTAACAGCAGCATCCATATCTAACCTAACCTTTAAAGAAAGGCTTTGTAACCCATAGTGGTTAAGAGACAGATTCAGGGGCCACCCGGACTGAACTTGCGTCTAGACACCTATGCAACTTGGACGTGTTATTTAACCATCCTGTGCTACAGTTTTTAATGAAGATAGTAACAATGCTTGTCTCAAAGGCTGCTTATGGACTAATTTATTTAGTGTTTAGAAAAATAGCAAGCATATATTAAAAATGTTGGCTATTATTATTGTTGTTATATGTGGCATTATACTATACTTTTCACTTACTATCTTTTCATTCCCTCAAAGCAGATGCGTAAGGTTGTTATGATTACTATGTTTAAATTAGAGTAGGTTACCTGTAGTTCAGTGCGAGTACATAATGTACCTCAGATCACATTTAGGTTACCCCAAGACACTATTCCGAGATGTCTGACTTTTAACTAGCCTATCTCGACCCACACTTCAGTTTTGATTATTTAGGATATATAAAACAAAAAGAAGCTTAAGTATAATCTATAATTATAGGTAAATATTGGTCCAAAAAATGCTTTTAGATTCCTAGGAAGCATTTTGTTAGAAAAGTTTGTGTATTGACACCAAAATTATGGCAAGGCTTGAGAAACGATGTACAAATGCGCTTTACACAATTGATGTGTGTATGGATTGGGATAACAGTTGTATGAGCCCCTAATAAAATGTTAAAAAAGAAAAAAAAAATTTTGGCAAGGCCATAGTACTTACCAGCATAGCAGTATTGATGGTAGTGTTCAGTAAGCATTTAGCAAACGTTTCGTGATCTAGTGAGTGCAGGGCTAACGGAATGGTCAGTGTCTGGGCCCAGCCACCGCTGTATTGCTCCATCAAGACGGGTTCCAGCTCCCCCTGGAGTTCGAGAATGGTGCCCACTTTAGATAGAAAAATCTTCTAGATTGCAGTGAAACACACGCGCACACACGCACACAACTTAAAACAACATGATTCGCTGTGCTTAGTTGCCCAGCATAATCCAGAATTTTGATTCCTGAGTTGTTAATTTACTAAATTACCATACTGTTAGATTGATTTTTTTTAGTTTCTAAAGTCTCTTACTACCTTAAATGCCCTTTATTTATTTATTTATTAATCATTTTATTAGGGACTCCTACAGCTCTTATCACAATCCATACACACATCAATTGTTTAAAGCGCATTTGTACATTCATTGTCCTCATCATTCTCAAAACATTTCCTCTCCATTTAAGCCCCTGGCATTAGGTCCTCATTTTTCCCCTCCTTCCCTGCTCCCCCCTCTCTCATGAGCCCTCGATCATTTATAAATTATTATTTTGTCATATCTTGCCCTGTCCGACGTCTCCCTTCACCCACTTTTCTGTTGTCTGTCCCCCAGGGAGGTGGTCACATATAAATGCCCTTTATTTTGACTGTGGCAAAACACCCATAAATGATAGATTCTATTAACACCATTTCTTTATTCTGGCCATTTTACTGATTACTTTGCATGATATTTATGGATGGAAAAATTAAGTATTGAAATAGTATAAATTTAGAAGATGACCCTTCAGCAATTTTTAAAAAGACATTGGATGAGAACATGTGCTTAATTTATATGGCATCATTTATATTTTATGACCTTGGTATATTTCAGTTAATTCTCTAATTCTTTATTTCTTCATCTATAAGGTGTATTTGATGGGACTATCTAATTCATAGTTTCTTTCATGAAAGGGGTGTGTGGATTAATGATTGTGAAGTTTACCACAGCCCAGCACATAACAGGAACACCACTAAATATTCTCTAAGAAGTGAAAAGTTATTTGTTTAAAAGATTTACATTCCTAAATTAAGAAGGCAGTTGGGAGAGTTTTCTTTTCTAAAGGTAGAAATCGAGCCCATGACATCATTGGTGATGGGACCAGTAGGGAGGCGCTTGCAGTTTCCTAGGTGAGAAGTAAGAAGTGCGTGGACCAAGTAGTGGTGGTCGTGGGGATTGCAGGAGGTGGTGGGGAAGAGGAAATAGTCATACAGTGATTTTATTACATGTGCACTGAAGTCTAGAATGGCTCCCGGCCCTTCATGTGGATGTCTGGGAAATGGCAGCCCCATTTGCTTTGACGGATTATGGAATAAGGATGCACGTATTTGGAGGAGATGAGAGGTGAAAAGCAAGGAGGTTGATTATCAGTTGATGACCATTTCACTTGTTTCTACGTTTTAGCTATTATAAACACTGCTGTGATAAATAGTTATTTATGCACTTTTATTTCATCGTATACTCGAGTGCGTCTACTAGGAGTGTGATTGCTAGGCCATATAGTTACTCAGTATTTAGTATCTTGAGAAATTGATTTGTCTACATGATCTCCAACACTTGTCTGTTTAGCCCTATTAATGGATGTGAAATACTGTCTCTTTGTGGTTTAGATTAGAATTTCCCTGATGGCTAATGATGTCGAGCATTGTGTACCTGCTTTGCCCCATTTCAATTGGGTTACTTGTTTCCTTAGTATTGAGCTGTAGGAATTCTTTTTATGTTCTAGATGCAGTCTTTTATCATCTATATGGTCTTTAATGATTTCCTCCCATTTTGTGAGCTAGCTTTTCACTTTTTAATGGTGCCTTTGAAGCACAGATGTTTTTCATTTTGATGGAGTCTGATTTATTTTTCTTTTGTCACTTGTGCTTTTGCTGTTCTAAGAAACGACTGCCTAGTCTAAGTTCACAAAAATTTTCTCTTCAGTTTCCTTCCAATGGCTTTAGAGAAGATCTTTAGCTCTGACATTTAGGTCTGTTATACATTTTGAGTTAATGTCTATGTATGGTCATACCAGCTTTTGATTCTTTTCTTATTTCAGAGCCTGGGGGGTATTTTAATTCTGTATGTGATACTTCTATGTTGTCTGTAGCATAAGGGATTGGACTCAGTAATCACTGAGGTCCTGTGTCTTGTTATTCTGTGTACTATAACTTAACTGTCTGAATGTTCTTTTTAATAGTACCATTGTTTGTCACAATGACCAAAACCCATGTGATAGCAGCTTCGAAAGAAGCATTTTATATTTGGCAGTATCGTGTGGCCAAGAAACTCACAGCATTGGAAATCAATCAGATCATGCGGTCTCGAAAAGAAGGAAGAGAAAGGTACTTGTCTTGATACTTGTTCTTAGCTGTTAAACCAGATCACATTTAAATAAAAGAATTAATTATAAATGATCATGTTTGAAAATTAGAAATTGTTTGAATTAAAAAAATCACATTTGCCATTAATTTGAATGTCTTTCAAATTTATCTGTTTAAATTGATTCAAAGAAAATGTTTTTGTTGTGTGTCCTTGTGTTGATGCTGATTTATAGTACAGAATAGAAATGGCCAATAGGGTTTCCTGCACACTGATCTTCCCAAGAGTAGTTTGCCAGATCTTTTCTCCCAAGGAGCACTTGGTGGCTTCAATCCCTGATCTTTTAGTTAGCTGCCCAGTGCTTAATCATTGTGCCACCAGGGCTCCTTAAGAAGATAGTGTAATGTAATAAAAGAAGCCATACTAGATAAAGACTGGAAATCAGAGGTTTTATAAGGAAATGGTTTACTTCCCTCATGCACACCCCTGCTTTATTAAGGTTATTAAGAGGTTTTGTAAAGGCGCACAGTGGGTTAAGTGTTGGGCTGCTAAGCAAAAAGTTCAGGGGTTTGGACCCATCAGCTGTTACATGGGAGGTGATGAGGCAGCATGCTTTTGGGAAGGTTTACAGCCTCAGATACCCCGTGAGTCATTTCTCTTTTGCTCTGGACAGTTGTTTTGAGTCTAAATCAACTTAGTGGTAGTGGGCTAGGGTTTTGCTAAATTGACATGATGACTTGGTCGAAGTCTGAATGTTGAGAGCTTCCCTCTTGCTGGGAAAGGGGAGAGGTCTCTTTCCAGGGAGTGCATGGGGGAGGGGATCGAGTCTAATATCAATCACTACAGGAGAGGCAGGGCTTTTGACAGTCTGTGGGGGGATTAAATTGGGATCCTGGTTTCCTTCTCTTGCCTTGGAATCTGTGTAGTCTGGAGTTAGAGTTACTTCTGGTAAGTGTGGGTACAGAGGGCTCCGCTGCATAGATTACAAGCCAGGTTAGGGCGATTCCCTGTATTATGTTCCAACATGAAAGTGCATTTACTATGTTTTGTAAGTTATATTATCTGATACTGATATTCTGTGTTTGTTATTGTTTTGTTATTACATTTGTTATAAAAGTATAAAGTATTTTTAAAAAATAGATGAATGATTTGTAGTGAGGTGAAACTGTGTGTGTGTGTGTGTGTGGTAGGAGAGGTTATCTCAGTAATTTTAGGTTGAAATCACTTTCCTACAAATATACTGGCGCTTTTTAAACAAAAAACATTTTATTGTACTTAATTTTTAAAAAATAGTTTAATTGGCCATTTTATTGTACTTTTGATGGACGTTTACATAGCAAATTTATTTTTCCAGTTTACATAGCAAATCCGTTTTCCCAATCAGTGGTTCAAATACAGATTGTTTTGTGACATTGGTTGTAATCCTGCGTTGTGCCAGGGCCTTCCTAGGTTCCTCGTTTTTATTCGTGCAGCTTCCCTGCCCTTCTTTGACTTTTCATCTTAGGTTTTGGCCTAATGTTGCCTTTTGAGGAAGACGTACTTCATATTATTTGGTATAGTCCTCCTGTTGGGCTGGAAGGTGGCCTTGGGATGTCTTTAACTCCAGGCAGGAAGATTTTCTCAAAGCAGTAGTCTCAGGCATCCCTCCAGCCCTTTTCGGACCAGTGCCTGGTCTCCGTTTGTGTGTTCTTTTTTGCTTTGAACCTTGTTCTACCTTATTTTTATTTTTTTAACCCCTTCTATTACGGTCTTGGTCAGAGTGGTTGATAGTTGTTGTTGGGTACCATCCAGTTCTGATGGCCTCAGCTTAGAGGAGACTGGGTTCATGTGGGCCTTTAATCTTTTGGACTAATTATGTCATCTAGCTTCATTCTTCTTTGCTTAGGTGAGACAAAACCAACAGTCACTCTATACGTATATATAGAAGTGTGTGTGATATATATATTTCCTCAGAAACCCTGTTTATGTAGTCACTGTGAGCTGGAGTTGACCCGGTAGCAGTGGGTTTAGACTCTGTACAAATATGTTGTAGCTAACAGTTTCCTAGTCTGAAAAATATTTACTCTTTTGGTGAAGTCTTTTGATGAGAATTAATGTTAATTTTAGGAGATCCTACTTTTATAATTGAACTTGTGCTGTTGTGCATTAACAATGGTTGGGATTCTATTTAAAATGTGTGTTGTGACCCTAGTGTTGCCCCTATTTTTTCTTCCATAATCTTTATAGTTTTAGGTTTTACATTGAGATCTTTGATCCATTTTCAATTAGATTTTGTGTATGGTGTGAGGTATGGATCTTGTTTCGTATGTCTCCAAATGATGTCCAGTTTTGCCAGCACCATTTGTTAGAGACTTTCTCTTCCCATTTAATGGACTTCAATGCTTTGTTGAAGATCAGTTTTCCCCAGGTAGATGAATTACTTCTGTGTTCTAAATTCTATCTCATTAGATTCTATCTGTCATTGTACCAGTACCAGGCTATTTTGATTACCATGCCTGTGTAGGATGCTATGAGATTGGGAAATGTAAGACCTCCTACCTTGTTCCTCTTTTTCATTAATGCTTTTCTTATCTATTGTCTCTTTCCTTTCCATGTGAAATTGGTGATTAATTTTTCTATATCATTAAAGAATGTTATGGAATTTGGATCCACCTTACATTTCATTTGTAGATCACTTTGGGTAATATTGACATTTTCACAATGTTAACGCTTCCTGTCCATGAACATGTTATGTTTTTCTATATGTAAGTCTCTTTTAGCTTTTTGCAGTAGTGTTTTATAGATCTTTTCTTTCTCTAGTTATATTTATTCACAATGTTTTATCTTTCTAAGAGCCATTATGAATGTATAGTTTTTCTGATTTCCTTTTCAAACTTCCTTTGTTAGTGCAGCGGAATTCAAGTTTTTCATCAGCAAACAGGGATAGTTGTATTTCTTCCTTGCAAAGATGTCCTTTGGCTCTCTCTGTAATGCTCTGTGACTTCCAGTACCATCGTGAATAGGAGTGGCAAGCACACCCTGTTCTTGTTCTCAAGGGGCATGTGTTTAGTGTGTCCCTGTTGAGTATCGTGTTGACAGCTGGCTTTTGTAGATACGCCTTTAATGACGTTGAGGAATTTCTTTTTGTTCTTTATTTTGCAGAGAGTGTTATGGAAGTGGCATTTGGACTTTATAACATGCCTTTTCCGTATCACATTGAGATTCAGATAAGACACTATAGTTCTATTAAATTTACTTAAAATCTATTCTCCGTATTACATTGATAAAAGCACAATTCTGATTTTAAATTAACAGTGATAACATTTCATGGTATTTTAAAGATAGAAAGTAGCTTGATTTTCTTGGGATTATATTTCAACTGCCATTTATTAAGCTTTGTGTGTGTCTGGCTCAGTGCTCCTAGGGTTTACAAGCATCATTTTATTTATGCCTCTCAACGTAGGAATTTTTATACTTATTTTAAAGATGGAGGAATTGAAGCTGTGGGAAGTTAAAGCATTTACCCAGGGCCGTAGGTAAAGATATTACCTACTCTACTATCTTTCTTATTCACTGCTGTTCATTTTAATAGTTTACTCTGAGACAGTACAGAGCACTTAACATTGTGAGGCACTGTACTAGATATTGGAGGTAGAGCCTTTCCCCACCAGGAAAATCACCACGTTGTAGGGGAGACAAGTAAACCAGCAGTGCCAGTGCAGTGTGAATGAATATTACCATTCAGGGATCAGAGAGACTGGTAGACGCCCCAAGGTGATGCACATGCATAACACAGGAGACACAGGGAGGTCGTCTTTACTCACAAACTACAATTCCATTCAATAGAGCTCCCCAAATACAAAGCACATTGATGAAAAGAAAATTATAAACAGTAGAGGAAATTAGTGTGTTCAAAGTTAACTTTTAATAGATGATTACTGGAGAGTAAAGTAAAATCTCTCAGGCTTTAATGAAATTCAATGGGAAAGTACAATTCAATGTTCAAATAAATTTTCACACACCTTTTAGGAACATCACACTTGCATAACAGGCAAATAGAAGTTAGAATCTATCTTTTTAAGATTTAGCTGTGTTAGAAATTCTTGAAAATATAAAAATGTTTTTATTAAATGGCAATATTCATTGATGTCATCTAAACTTTTAATTGTTCTACGTATTATGAAATGGTGTAAGTCTTATACTTCCCTTGAAATTTTGATCTTTTTTACAGAATATATCATGTTGATGATACTCCTTCTGGATCAGTGGATGGGGTGCTTGATTATAGTAAAGCCATCCAAGTAGGTGATTTTATTTTTTGCCAGCAAAGCTAAGCACTATAGACTGTGAGATATTGTGATTTTATTTTGAGACCTGAAAAAGAATTCATTTCCAGTAAATACCATGTCACGCTAGTGATTCTTTAAAGGCATTCCTAGTCTTTGCCTTGAAAACGCTTAGACTAAAATAATGGTAATAAGTAGCTAATGTGTTGTTATTTAGAGACACAGACTCTCAGCACGTTGGGAAGCGTAATTCTCCCTTTTCCACTTTGCTCTCCTTGCTTCTGCTTCTCCTCTCTCTCCCTCTCCTTCCCCGTCTGCCTCACCTGTTGGTTGCAGACTGGTCTGTCGCTTCTGGCAGTCTAGCCCATATTTTCTCACCTAATATAATTAAGTAATTGAGTAAAACGGCTTGTTTTTGTTACGCTTTTCTAACCCACAGTGCTACCAAGGTTCCTTAAGAGTATTTAAATCATTACTTTATTGCTTTTGAAGTTCTTTCCTACCAAGTTTCTTATCTGAGTTTCACAATTCTGTAATGCAAAAGGAACGTTTAGTTTTCTCTCCATTTTATCAAGTGAAAAAATGATGATCAGAGAAGATAGTTGACTTAGGGTCATAAAGTAAGTGATTATGTAGCAAAGTGAGGATTCAAACTTCGATCTTTTAACTGTAGATCTAGTGACCTATCCAATAAAATGTAGAAGAATTCATCTAGCTATCTTTGTATCTGTTCATTTATTAAACGAGTATTTGTTAAATGACTGTTGGGTGAAGAATATTGAATATATCATGACTGCCAGGAGAAAGAACAAATGTTTCAGAAAAAGTACAAGCAGGATGCTTCTTAGAAGTGCGTATGGTGAGGCTTCATCCCACATGCTTTGGACTTGCTATTAGAGGGACCAGACGCTAGAGAAGGATGTCATGCTTGGTAGAGGGTCAGCGCAAAAGAGGAAGCCCTGCAATAAGAAGAATTGGCATAGTGGCTGCAGCAGCAATGTTTGTGAGGGTGGCATGTGACAGAGCAGTGTGTAATTCTGTTGTACATGGGATCGCTATAAGTTTGAGCCACCTTGACAGCACTTAACAGCAATGACCTTGACCCCTAAGGTTTCTTTCTAATCTTTCAATTTGATCCTATATAGTTCTTAAAAGAGCTTAAGTCTCAAAGCAGACATTTTTCACTCATGAAGCTAAGCTTGTTTGAGTTCCATTGCTCATAAACTTCTCAGTGGCTAATCTTTCAGATGTTGTAGCTTGTTCCTTTTTCCTAATATGCCCTTGTCTGGAAGCTTCATTGAAACCTGTCTACCATGGGTGACCCTCCTGGTGGCATAGCTTTCACAATCACAGATACCACAGTACAGCAAACTGACATATTAACGGTGTAAAATGCCAAATGACATAGCAAACATCAAAAGAGGTGCTCAGGATCATCGAGCCAAGAATAATTGGTGGATGTTCAGTCATTTCAAGAGGTAGCGTGTGATCAAGCACCAATGGTATTGAAGAAAGATTTCCAAGTTGTACTGAAGGCACTGGCCAAAAGCAAGCTTCCAGTAATTGATGGAATACCGATCGCAATCTTTCAACAAGCTGATTCAGTGCTGGAAGCACACACTCTTTGGCCAATATGTTTGGAAGACAGCTCCTCGGCCAGCCAACTGTCACAGATCCCTCTTTGTGCCTGTTCCAAAGAAAGCCGACTCCACAGAATGCAGAAACTATCCAGCAGCATCACTAATGTCATCTGCAAGTAAGGTTTTGTTGGAACTAATTGTAAAATGGCTGCAGCAGTATATCCATAGGGAGTTGCCTGATAGTCACGTGGATTCAGAAGAGGACCTGGAAGGAGGGATATATCATTGCTGACATCAAATGGACCTCGGCTGAAAGCAGAGATCAACAACATGATGTTTACTTGTGTTTTATTGACTATGCAAAGGCATTTGACTATGTAGATCATAACAGACAAAGGGTGACATTGTGAAGAAAGAAATTCCACAACACTTAACTGGGATGATGCCGAACCTGCGTGTAGGCCAAGAGGCAGTTGTTAGCAAACAACAAGGGGCTACTGAGTGGTTTAAATCCAGGAAAAGTGTGCATTCTTCAAGCTGTATGCTGAGCAAATAATTTGGGAATCTGGACTGTCTGAAGAAGAACGTAACAAGACCGGAGAAAGGCTTATTATCAACCTGCAATATACAGATAACACAACCGCCTCTGAAAGGGAAGAGCACTTTAAGCACGTACTGATGAAGATCAAAGACTTTCAGTATGGGTTACGCCGCAATGTGAAGAAAACCAAAGTCCGCACAACTAGATCAATAGACAGCATGATGGTAAACAGAGGAAAGATCGAAGTTGTGAAAGATTTTGAGTCCACTATCATTTCTCATGGAAGAAACCCTCAAAAAATCAAAGGATATATTGCATTGGGCAAATCTGCTGCAAAAGACCTCTTTAAAGTCTTAAAGAGCAAAGATGTCTTTGTGAGGACTAAGGTGCATCTAACTCAAGCCAGTGTGTATATATATATATGCACACACATACATACATACATGCATATGTATATTTGAAATCATTTTATTGGGGGCTCGTACAACTCTTACTACAATCTGTTCATCCATCCATTGTGTCAAGCACATTTGTACATTTGTTGCCATCATCATTCTCAAAACATTTTCTTTCTACTTGAGCCCTTGGTATCAGCTCCTCATTTTCTCTTCTACCTTCCCCACTGTCCCACCCTTAACCCTTGATAATTTATAAATTATTATTATTTTCTCATGTCTTACACTGACTGATGTCTCTCTTCACCCACTTTTTTGTTGTCCATCCCCCAGGGAGGGGGTTATATGTAGATCATTGTGATTGGTGCCCCCTTTCTCCTCCCACCTTTCCCTTCCCCTCCTGGTATCGCTACTCTCATTATTGGTCCTGAGGGGGTTATCTGTCCTTGGATTCCTTGTGTTTTGAGCTCTGATCTGTACCAGTGTACATCTTCTGGTCTATCCGGATTTGTAAGGTAGAATTGGGATCATGATAGTGGGGCAGAGGAAGCATTAAAGAACTAGAGGGAAGTTGTATGTTTCATTGGTGCTATACTGCACCCTGAGCCAGACAAGCCATAATATTTTCATTGCCTCATTTACATGTGAAAATTGGACAGTGAATCAGGAAGATCAAAGGAGAATTGATGCATTCAAATTATGGAATTGACAAAAAATGCTGAGTAAACTATAGGCTGTCAGAAGAATGAACACATCTGTTTTGGGAGAATATCACTAGTTGCTCCTTGGATGCAAAGTGGATAAGACTTTCTCCCTGGTAGTTTGGACATGCTTTCAGGAGGAACCAGTTCCTGGAGGAGGGCATCAGCGCGAAAGAGGAAGGCCGTCAGTGAGGTAGATCGACACAGTGGCTACAGCAGTGGACTCAGAGATGGCAAGGGCACAGGGCTGGGCAGTGTTTTTGTTTTGCTTACATAGGGTTGTTATGAGTTGGAACCAACTGGACAACACCCGCCAATGACAAGGACGACGTTGGGGTGACTCTACTTTTTAGTATACTGTATTGTTATTTGGTGTCCCAGTAAACTTTTAAGTAATCCCTTAAGGCAAAGATTTCTTGACTTATATCTCCAGCACTCAGTTCAGTGTCTGGCACACAGGAGGAAGCCAGTATACTATTTAAGAATGAGAAATACAACTTTCCTCTAGTTCCTAAATGTTTCCTCCCCGCTCCCACTACCATGACTTGAATTCGATCTTTCAAGTCTGGCTAGACCAGAGGAGGTACACTGGTACAGATAAGAACTGAAAATCCAGGGAATCCAGGGCAGATGAGCCCTATAGGACCAGTGGTGTGAGTGGCAAAACGGAGGGTAGAGGGAGAATGGGTAGGAAAGAGGGAACCGATTACATGGAACTGTATGTGACCTCCTCCCTGGGGGACAGACAACCGAAAAGTGGATGAAGGGAGACGTCGGACAGGGCAAGATATGACAAAATACCCATTTATAAACTATCAAGGGCTCATGCGGGAGGGGGGAGCGGGGAGGGAGGGAAAAAATGAGGACCTAATGTCGGGGGTTTAAATGGAGAGAAAATGTTTTGAGAAACGATGTACAAATGCGCTTTACACAATTGATGTTTGTCTGGATTGGGATAACAGTTGTATGAGCCCCTAATAAAATGTTAAAAAAAAAAAAAAAAGAATTCTTAGCAAATAGTCACTGCCTAATATAGGAATGGTCAGTCAATAAATACTTATTGGAGAATAACAGTTGATTACTTTATTTTAGGGAACAAGAGATCCAATTTGTGCCATAACTGCATCTGATAAGACACTGATTGTGGTAAGTTGGGGAAAATATTTTATGAATAATAATTGTTTAAATTTCAAAAATAGTGTCAAGCAATGTGCTTCGAATGTCAATATCATCTTGTTAGCACCCTAGCTTTTACTAAATCTAATATAAGAAATAAGAAAAGTGTGAAATAGGTTACAAACTGTTTATCATATTAAAAAAATAGCTGTTTATAAAAACAATAGGATGGTGCCAGCTGAGAAAACAGGGACAGAGATTGTATATCAGGTGAGTGAGCTCCTTGAAGGATGGGAGGATGTGGGAGGAGAATGGGTGATGGTAGAGGGTCTTACTGTCTTCTGCTCTCTATGCGGTCTGTTACTGTGCATTGGAGATAGTGTTTTCAGCCACTTTCATAAGACATATAATGAAGAGCTGGTGTTTTTGCCAGCCAGAAAAATATCAAAGCCCATGCATGGCCGATTTTGTGCTGCATTTTTCAGAGAATCAATGTTATAATGTCACTTCTTGAGCTCTGGCATTTGAAAATATTAGTTTTAGAAAAAGGTGTTTATTTTAATACAGTAATGCTGGTAGAGTTATGAATTTGAATTTTATAAACAGAATCTTAATAGCATATAGTCCCAGTTTTGGTTATATTCCTTTTGCTATGAGCTGATTTTAGTGGGAAAAAAATAGCTGAAAAGCTTAGAATTTCTTTTTCATCATTAAATGATTTAAGTGTTGTAAGGAATATATTTCACAGTCAGGTCTTTGGAATCTTCTGTTTTCACTTTTGATTCTTCAATGTGTGCTAAGATTTTTTTCGTTAGGTTATGCTTTTGGACTCAATCACAGAACTTGAATTTCTAAATGACAGCGACTATATATAATCAACATCATGGGGAAATAATCTTCTGTATTTTAATGTGCTTCCCACTGTTGAAATGTAAACAGATTTTAGAACTGCTATTGTTTTCAAATGTTTTAAAATATAGTGCCCTTTTCTCCCCACCAAAATCTTTAGTACCCTAATGTATTTAATCTTAAAAATACATATTTAAATGTGTTTTCATATATTAAGTTTTTTCTTATACATTAAAAAAATATGTACATTAAACCTCACTCCCTCCTCACTTTGCTGAGAGCACCTCTTAGAATTGTGGCATGAAAGCAATGCTGCTCTGCAAAGACTAGCTCTGTGAAGCCTGCACTCGCCCTGTGGCAGTGACCTTGAAGGACAGAAGAATTTGAAAACCATCTCTGTTTTCTTTTGTACTGACTGTTGATTGGCCAACTTTAGGGGTTTGTCAGGTTGTATGGAAAGTTATTTTACACAACTATGGTCTTGAAAGGTTGTATAGAAAGTTATTTTGTTTTTTTTTTTTAAAGCCGTTTATGCTAATAGTCACTGTATCCCTACTTTTGTATCATGTTCCTTTGCCAAAATAATTATCAAATACATAGCTGTAGTTTAAAAACCTACATTTGCAGTAGCAGCTTTTATTTTGTGATATTACATGAACTTTTCATTTCTATAAAATACAGACTATGTATAAACTCAGTTTGCTGAGTGCTTTCAGTTTTAGTTTTAATGTACTCTGAATAATAACCTAGACAAAAAAGAAAAATCCCAAAGCAGAAACTTCCCTGAGATGGAAGAATTTATAAAGTCTGAATAGTGAGGTTTCTGACTGTTTTCTTGAACATTGCATAAAAAATTTGACTACCTTCGATAGCTTTATTGAAAAGGTTTTAATTAGGAGAGAAAAGTACAGTGCTCACTAATATGATTCACTATTAGAATTGTCATGATGCCATTACTTTGATTTTGACAAAAAATGTGAGACCGTGAAGAGGGACCTGTAGTTGTAGCTTAATATTGTGGCAACGATGCTTTAGTGACCCACAGTGATCTCCCTAGGGTCGGGACTCCGGCACTCTTCAGAGGTACAGCCTTCCGAATGTTGGCTTGATTCAGAAATACTCCCTTGATTGTCGAGCCTGCCAGTTATCCTTGAATTGCAACTCTAGGTAAGCCTGGACTCTCTCTTCCCATGCATGTTAGACTTAGAACAGTGGTTCTCAACCTTCCTAATGCCGCTTCCTCATGTTGTGGTGACCCCCCCCAACCATCAAATTATTTTCGTTGCTACTTCATAACTGTAATTTTGCCCAAAGGGGTTGTGACCCACAGGTTGAGAACTGTTGACTTAGAAGATATCAGCTGAGATTGCTGGATTTATGTAATAAATGTTAAGACATGTTTCTTTTAAATTTGTCTTTTGGTTTATTGTTGTTTTATTCTGTGGTTGCCTTAAGTGGCTTTCTTTGACTGGACATCTGGAAATACTAGTGTTATAGTTCACTCTTCAGGTGTGAACAGTGACACAATTTAGATTTGTGTTACAGTTGGTTAAAGCTTTGTATACAGCTTCCTTATAAGAGTAATCATGTATTTTGTTAAATTTATATTGAAAAATCTATAAAGCCACATTTATGATAAAGCCATTTCAAATTATACCCAGGCTTCTGATCAACTGATTTTGAAGACAAGTGTTTATAGATTATTGTTTATACTTATAATTGTGGATAGTAATTTTCCTTTTTCCCTTGTGTCCAATTTCGTTATTTTTAGTCGTCTTGCTATCATAGACATTTCAGGAGTTCTGACTTTCTTTGACTTGGATGCACGAGTAACAGACAGTACGGGACTGCAAGTAATTGGCGAGTTGTTAAAACTGGAGCGAAAAGATGTCTGGGATATGAAGTGGGCCAAAGATAATCCTGATTTGTTTGCAATGATGGAGAAGACAAGAATGTATGTTTTCAGAAACTTGGATCCAGAGGTAAAAATCATAAAATGAGGGTAAATAATGCATAAATAATGAGCCAAATATCAAAATACGGATTTTTTCCCTATGTTTTTTTCAAGGATTTTGTTGGTGTTGGCTGCAAGAATTTCTGAAAGTGAAAACCTTTCTGTGGAATTTTAAAATGTTTTTCTTAAGTGGGAATAATAGTTGTCTTTTAAATATTCTCTACCTTCTAAGCACTTGCCTGTGTGATTTTTTGTTTGTTTTGTTCTTTTCTTTTTTTTATCAATTTATTGGGGCTCATACAATTCATCACAATACATAGATCAATTGTGTAAAGCACATCTATACATTTGTTGCCCTCATTATTCCCAAAATTCGCTTTTTTTGTTCTTTTAAGATGGAAGCATGGTCACCTTATAGTCTCTGTTATTTTTCCATTACCCAAGTATCTAAAGAAATTTAATAGCCTTGTTTACTAAAGTTTCTTAAATTAATCTAGCAAAGAAAAAAGTGCGGCTTTGAAAATTATCTTGTCCTTTCATTCCCTTTTGCTTACGATGTATCCACCTTATTCTGTGCTCCTTAGGACCTGTTTATATTTACATTGTTACCCCAAGATACTGTTAGGAATATGCAAATGTGGACTGTGATTAATCTGCTCTCCTTTGTGTTTTATTATGAGTTGAATTGTGTCCCCTGAAAGCATGCTCTATGCCTGATGGTTACGATCCCCTTTGGGAATGGGTTATCTTTGTGAAGTTTCTAAAGCAGGATTAATGTAGAATGTGCCTTGAGTTAATCTCTTTTGAAATGAAAGTAATGAAGTGCAAGCCAGCCAGGAGGGATGGGGGGTAAAGGATGCTATGGCACATGAGTTTCTCTGCGGGGCTGAAGCTCACGTGGACAAGGAGCTTCCTCCAGAGCTGACACAGAGAAAGTCCTGAGAGCCAGCACCCAGAATTTGGTCTTCTACCTAGTCTCCTGTGAGAGAATCAGTTTCCGTTATTGAAACATTAGATACTGAAGACAGGAGTCAAGAAGTCCCTTCCTCAATCATTTTTACATTGAATTTTGAAGTTATTTTGTTTTTGTATTTTAAAAATACAGGTGACTCACATCAACTGATATTGAGGTCTGGATTTCCCTGTCATTTAGCATGCTTCTGGACCAACTATTACCTTTGTTGTGTTTAGGAAATACAAAAACATTTTCGTGGTAGCCTCATCAAGACATTATTGAAACAATATCTTTTAAACAACTTTTGGATTAAAAATGAATTTTGTAACTGGAACTTAACAGTGTTTCTGCTGTCCTCCTTCAGTGTAAATCAGGGGTGTCACACTGGTGGCCCGTGGGCCGCAGAGGTAATTTTTGTGGCCCATGATATTCTGAAATACAATGAAAATAGAAAAAATTGTGATGAAGAAAATAGCGCATAGGGGAGATTAAGGTAATTCTGTACACACAATTCCTCGTTAACCTTTTAACTACTGAAGATGAGTAAAATCACAAAATCGAAGTTGCTCATTTTAATTGAGCTTGACACCCCTGGTGGAAATGATAAGAAATGAGATAATAAATGCTGTACGTCATTAGTTTCTATTTGGACCAAATGCTTCTTTCTTGGGAGGAAATTGCATGTGCTAGCCCCTGACCTGCCAACAATCTTCTTTAGCTATTTATTTAGGGGAACATGATTTTATCTTTTAATATCATAATTGTTGTCATATTTCTCCCATTTGAGCTGTGTTAGAATTTGGGGGTTGGCAAACTTCCTGGTAGAAATTACTCTCAAGGCCTTTGTTAAAACTTTTAGGAATCTTAGGGATTCTTGTAATTCTTAGACTCTGAGTAATGGTTCAAATGAGCTGGATTAGACCAGTAAGCTCCCGCTGCCTTTAATGGCCAAGGGAAGTTGACCTTTGACAAAGAACAAGTGTGGAAATCCGACAGGCATCTCCTGGTTATTTTGAGGACTTGAGTGGACTCTTTCAGAATGTTACAGTTTGGGGCCCACTCATCCCTGGGCAGAGATCTGTAAGCCTAGAGAAGTGAGGCTGTGTGTTGTACCTGGCTGCGCTTAATGTGTGTGTGGCACACCAGCTTTGCCTCTCACCAAGTCAAACCAAGCACTTGGCCTGGGGAAAGTGCTTTTTAAGTAGTTTTGAGAGAGCATGATGTTTTTTAATTTGAAGTTATTTTTTGGTCTGGCAAGTAGTTCAATTTCTATTAGATTTAGAGCTAGGTGGATTTCTTACAACTTCGCCACTGACTGGATTTCTTCATAAGCCATGCTGTCTTGTTCCTTTCATTCTGTGTATGGACATTAACTCAGTGTGGTCCCTGCTTGGTTAGTTACTCTGCTATGCATTCCTTTGGCTGCTCATTGGTTTTGTAATGATAATCCATCAACCTCAAGAACTTAATAGGCCTGCAGTGCTATAGAATAGAATAGCTTTTCAAGAAATAAGCTATTATATGAAGGTTAAGAGCAATATATTCTTACCATTTGAGAATTATAAAGAGTATTTAGTGATGAAATCGCTTTCATTTCCAATAATCCTCTCAAGGTACTGATTCATTTCTTCTCCTTTTGTGAGTGGAATGCTGTCTTCCCTCTCATTGGTACTATTGCTCATACATATAGTCCTCTATGGGTCACATTTTCATTCACTCACTAGCTCTCATAGTTTGTGTATTCCCTTCTCCTTTCCAAGCCAGTGGTATGTGCATTTTTGAATGCACCCTAAACCTGTATCCTTGCTTATTCACTAGTTATATCCATGGCTTCCCAAACTAATAAAAATCCCTTATGACTCATGTTCCCAAGCAGGCATTTTAAAAGGAGAAAAAGATAAAATTTTAAAGGCTGAAACAACTTTATTTTAATAAGGTGTCATTCTAATTGTTATAATTACATATTAGCCCATGTCTGAAGCTGAGTGCACACTTTATTTACAGCGAGGTTTTGTTAAAATGTGTAACTCCCATGTTTAAAATTGTTTATTTGATAATTTAGACTTTTTAGATGATTTTGCCAGATCTGATTAGATTGCCATTTTTTTACTTTGTCATGTGACTGATCCAAGAGTTTCTACCAGGAGTGAGAAAGGTGTTCTGTTTTTTTCTAGTTTGTTGTATGTTCATCATTACCATGATCTTTAATTTGCAAAATCTCTGCAGGAAACTTTTTATGCTTTTGTTCATTTTGTGAGGGCTAGCTAAAAATAGATAATATAATTCCTAAATCTATTTAAATTAGGCCTATTCAAACATCAATATGTATAAAAACCAAAAACCAAACTCACTGCTATTGAGTCAATGCTGACTCATAGTGACGTGACCCTGTGGGTTCCTGAGACTGTAAATGTTTACTGGAGAAGGAAGCTCAGTCTTCCTTCCACAGAGCTGCTGGTGATTTCAGACTGCTGGTCATGCTCACAGCCCAACACATAACCACTGCAGGGCTCCGGTGTATATGTTTGTTTAAAGGAGCTGCACCCCCCCCCATATCCCTCAGGAGCCCATATTCTGGTAGTTTTCTCTATAGGTTCATCAAAGGAACTTTCTTCTTAAATGTAGGCATATTAAAACGCAAACCCACTGCCATCTGATTGATTCAGTGACCCCACTTAGGGTTTCTGAGGCTATAAATCTTTATGAGAGCAGATAGCCTCATCTTTCTCCTGCAGAGCAGCTGTTGGGTTTGAACCAATAACTTTGAGGTTCAACTTATGCAACAGTGCTATCAGGGCTCATTAGACATACTAAAACTCCGAAACTCGCTACCATTGAGAGACTCCCAACTCGTAGTGACCCTAAATGACAGAGTAGAACTGCTTCTGTTGGTTTCCAAGGATGTCATTTGTTACGGAAGTGGAAAGCCTCATGTTTCTTCCTATGAGTAGCTGGTGGATTCAAACTGACCTTGTGGTGAGCAGCCCAAAGCATAACAAACACACTAAGTCGCTGGGCTCCTGAACACACATGCAGCCCAATGCATAACAAACACACTAAATCGCTGGGCTCCTGAACACACATGCAGCCCAAAGCATAGCAAACACACAAAGTCGCTGGGCTCCTGAACACACATGCAGCCCAATGCATAACAAACATACTAAGTCGCTGGGCTCCTGAATACACATGCGGCCCAATGCATAAGAAACACACTAAATCGCTAGGCTCCAGAATACGCATGCAGCCCAAAGCCTAACAAACACACTAAGTCGCTGGGCTCCTGAACACACATGCAGCCCAATGCATAGCAAACACACTGAGTCGCTGGGCTCCTGAACACACATGCAGCCCAGTGCATAGCAAACACAGTAAGTCGCTGGGCTCCAGAACCTATAGGGAACTATAACTCAGTGTTCTCTTATTTTGATCCTTCTTGGTGTCTTCTTTTTAATTACAATTTCTGTGTTTTTATCCTATTTCTAGGTGGGCTGACTTTGAGATGTATAAATATGATATACTATTTCATTTAGTTTTAATAGACACAAATGCAGATTATTTTTAAAAAATTCTAGCATTTTTATTATCAAGCAATATGATCATTTTTTAATAGTATTCTTAGAGGTAGTAAGTACATTGAGTTTATTTTTATTTATATAATGTTTACATCTCTTTTTAGCAAGTATTTAAGGTAGCTACTTTCAATTATAATATGCAAATACTCTATCTCTACAAATAAAGCTTTTATTATGTGGAACAGTAAAAGACATAGCAGACTTACATGTTAACATTGGCAAATAAAAGTTTCTTATTTAAGAAGTATATCACAAACAGAGTCTAATGTTATAGATGACAGATTTTGCAGTATGATACAGGACTTCTTTGATGTATATATGTAGGAACAAATATTAATGTTTGTCAATAACAAAATAATTAAATTGTTAAATACTATAAATTAAAACTATTGGGCTATGTAAGACATTTTGAGTTAATTGGGAAAATCTTGACTGGATATTTGATGCTATTAGAGAATTAAATGTGATAATATTCATGTAGTCATAAAATATCTATCAATTAGAGAATATATTATGTATTTGTATGTAAATGTAATGATGTATAATTTGCTTACTTTAAAAATACGTTAGTCTAAAATTAAGTTTATGTAACAAAATTGAATAATTACTTAGGAGTGGACAAATTGGAGTTAATAATATTCTTGCTGCTTCTCTGTTTATTTGAAATCTTTGATTATAAAATTAAAAATCTTCATATGCTAAAGGAAGGAACATTTTTCCATATCATTATGTTATGTTAAATGTAACATTTATTTTTGTCTCAAAAGGAACCTATTCAGACTTCTGGATATATTTGTAACTTTGAGGATTTAGAAATTAAATCTGTTCTTTTGGATGAGATACTAAAGGTAATTAAAAATAATTAAATTTCTCTGACTGACTTAATTGGGAATTAGTTTAGAGGTGCTGTGATTCCGTCTATCGGTATAGCTGTATCTATTCAAAAGTCTGAAGCAAGAGAGGATTTGGGGGCAATTCTGGGACTGTGAACAATACAACTAGGCACTAAAATGCTTGGTCCATAGTATTTCATTTCGTCCTTAAAACCCTGGTGGGGAGGGGTCTTGATGATTGTCTCCAAGTTTTCAGTTGAGGAATCCAAGATTTCGCAAGGCCATCTCATTTGCCGGTGTCCTCTCGTTAGGAATAGTCCAAGGCATGACTGGCCTACACGCTGTCTTGTCGTTTGAGCTGCTGTGTGTAATCTGCAGTGCTAGCAGAACTGAGGCTGGGAATCAGGGCTCGGTCATGAAATACACACATAACATGCCCTGACATAGAGTTGGAACTTTTCATGGAGTCAGTGGGGGAGTAAAAAGGGGACTGACATGATTGGGTTCATCTTTTGTGAAGGTGGTCCTGATTCCTGGTAGGCACGGAAAGGAATGAGTAGTCAGTCACACAGCTCATAAGTGATGGAGTTAGAATCTGAGCACAAGTGTGTTTGAAGCCAAATCGCAGGCTCTTCCCTTTGGGTCTCTGTTTTGCTGGAGTTCCCTGTAGACCTCATTTTCTGGCTACAGTGGGCTGGTTGGATGGTCAGAGGAGGTGGTATATGGGTGACTCATTGTACCTTTTCGGATATTTTGGTATTTGAAAACTATTGCTTTATACATAGGTTAATGCCCTGTTTCCCCAAAAGTAAGACATCCCCCGAAAATAAGACCTACTTACAGTTGTACCTCTCGCTGAAATATAAGGCATCCCCCCGAAAATAAGACCTCCCCCAAAATGAGGCCCCCTGAAGCTACTGTAATTCTGGACTGTAGCGGTGGGCAGCACCACCCAGCTCACTGTTGGCCATAGCGCAGCCGGAGCAGACAGGAAGTGTGAGGTCTCTTTTAAGAAAACAATAAACAATAAATGTGTACCGTATTCTTCTTCATGGAAAAATATGACATCCCCTGAAAATAAGACCTAGTGCATCTTTGGGAGCAAAAGTTAATGTAAGACATTGTCTTATTTTTGGGGAAACAGGGTAATTATCTCTTATGTTGTATATTTTTCATTACTTAGAATGTATACAACAATGAGTTATTTGTGATCACTGTCTTTCTGTGACTATTAGTGTTTTTTTAAAGATACTTAAAGTAGTGAGGAAAACTGGTGCTTTTTTTTTCTTTCCTTGCATCTATTTGCCTACTGCCTATCGGAACTGGGAGCACCAATGCTCTTGTACCTGGCAGCAGATACTAGAGGAGTGAAGGAATAGAGGCTGTTGCAGGGCTGTTTTGACTCTCATGGATATGCACCAACACTGTTGATAGAGAGAGCAGCTCTTGGGCAAAGGAACTTGAACTGAAGGAAACACAGATACTAAACTAAAAGGGGCTCCATCCACCATTGCCCACAAGGCAGCCTGATCGCCACCGAAGGGCTTTACTGGTTTTCCAGATAAGTCACAAAAATTCAAACATGGACATTTTGACCCTCTCTGCTTTTAATGGAACATTGTGTATGTGTGTGTTTAAATTGTAAAATAATTCATGTTCTAAAAACAACTTACAAAATTCCCTTCTTTTCATCTTTTAGAATCCAGAACACCCAAATAAGGATTATATAATTAACTTTGAAATCCGGTCCCTGCGAGACAGTCGAGCATTGATTGAGAAGGTTGGAATTGAAGATGCCTCTCAATTCATTGAGGACAATCCGCACCCCCGGCTTTGGTACCTAAAAAACCAGACAACTACTAAGATGTCAGCTGTATTGTTTTCCAGTCTCAGTTCTTCATCTGAGACTCCTGATAGGAATAATCTTCCATTTTTGTTCTGATTTTTAAAGTATAGGACTACATGTTAGTTTTGGAAATACTTAACATAAGCATATTATATGAGAAATGTTGAAATATGGTAAAATAATCACTTCTTACCATGTTTTGCTACAAAACACCAGATACAATGTAAAATAGTTGAGTTCTAGAATTCAAGAACTGATTGCCAGTAATTTGCAGTAGGCTTTGTGTGTGTGTGTGCGGTTGTTTTCCATAAAGGCGCCTGCTGGCTGAAGCAGCTCTTCAGAAAGTGGACTTGCAGACTGCAGAGCAAGCATTTGTGCGCTGCCGAGACTATCAAGGAATCACGTTGGTGAAGCGCTTGGCCAATCTGCAGAGTGAGTCCATGAAGCAGGCTGAAGTCGCTGCCTACTTCGGCAGGTTTGAAGAGGCGGAAAGAATGTACCTTGATATGGATAGAAGGTAATTTATCAAGGTCCAGGCCTCCCCAGAGCATTTCCAGAATTTGTGGTGGTGGGTTTTTTTCTTCTTTTTTCTTTGTTACTCCCTTCACAACTGGGGAATGTAAAGTAACATAAATGTACTGTATTACTTTGTTGAAAAAATAATTTTCTGTTTTCCACCAGGACTACAGAGAATAATTTTTGTTTGAATCACAGCGTAGGTATTCTGTGACCCTGGTTAATTTTTGCTGTGTAATTTGCCTTGATTAATTATGCCTTGTAATTTGCGGGCATATGTAATTTCTTAGGTTGTATACCTGTTATAGGAGATTTTCCTGTTAATAGGGAAAAAAGCAAGTGACACGATGGGACTTCAGATCTATTGGGTGACTTTTATAATTAATTACACAGTTCATTATTTGGGCTGCCTTTTTAAAATTAAGCCATTTTCGGTTATCAAGGAGCATACAAGAAAAATGAAAAGTATTCAGATATGGTTTTATTCTATTTCTTCTTTGACTTGTAGAAAATAATAGAGGTATCAATATAGCTGTAAAGTTTCCTATGTGTAATTTTTTGTTAGTATTGTTTGCATTTATAGTTTATTCCTAACACAACCTTTAAGCCCTGAATAGACCTAAAAACTATGTGAGCTTATGCCCTGTACTTTGTTTTGAGATAGATAGCATTGCTAAGAAACTGGTAAAAATAAGTGATTATTATTTAAATTGTTATTTGGTGGGAAAAAATACAAGTGAGGGAAAAGTAAAAGGCAGAAAATTATTTCCTTTTTTCCATTTCAAGGCCTTTCCATTGCCTCTTTACCTGGTCATGCTAAATTTTGTAGTCTTAAAATGTTAAATTTTAATCTGTAACCACCACTTTAAAGGTGTGCACTATTTGGGGAGTAACCTCTCGTTCACTTACTTGTGTTGGGTCTTGGAACCGAGCCCTGTGCCTGCTGCTGTTGCGGGTGCCATGGAACCGGCTCCGACCCCGAGTGGTCAGAGACCCAGCCCTGGGCTGGCCTCACAGTTCTTGATGTGCTTGAGCCCATTGTTGCAGCCACCGTGTTAATCCGTCTGGGTGAAGGCCTTCCTTCTTTTCTCTCTGCCCTTTCTACTTTACCAAGCATGATGTCCTTCTCCAGGGACGTGTCTCTCCTGAGAAAGTGTCCAAAGTACATGAGAAAATGTCTCACCATCCTGGCCTCTAAGGAGCATTCTGGCTGTACTTCTTCTAAGATGCATGTGCTTGTCCTTTTGGCAGTCCATGGTGCTTTCAGTCTTCTTCACTAGCACCATAATTCAAGTGCATCCATTCTTTGGAGGTCTTCCTTATTCAGCATCCAACTTTCACATGCATATGAGGTGGTTGACAATACCATGGTGGAGTCAGGTGCACATTAGGCTAGCACATAGTAGGCATTTAATAAACATTTGGTGAATTAATGCCTTTGTAGAGATCTTGCTATTGGCCTCCGGCAGAAATTGGGAGATTGGTTTAGAGTCCTTCAACTCTTGAAAACCGGATCTGGTGCTGCAGATGACAGTCTCCTTGAGCAAGCCCACAATGCGATTGGAGACTACTTTGCTGATCGACAGAAGTGGTATGTAGTCCACCTGTATCACCACTTCCATTCCTGCCGCTCTGATTGTAGCTTCCTGAGCACTTCTAAATATTGTTAAGGAAATAAAGACTATCCTTGATCTGAAAATTTAAATAGCTCTGTTTTCACATTGGTGGACAAGTGATCCTTATATTGTAGAGTGATCCTTATATTGTAGAGTGAGCAATATAAAAGTTGGGGCTTCCAAACTGACAAAAGTGGTGCTTAGCTGGACATGGCAGGCAGATTTGAACTGTTAGAGATCAGAGTATACAATTCTAAGACATTATATTACTTACTGCCGAAAAAAAGTATTTTGTATTTGTTTTATTATTATGGATTGTGTTTAGCAATCATTAGTTTGCTTTAATTTTGATGATTATGTTTATTTATGTTATTGTTAGGGATTATTGCAAGTATATATCTGATTAAATAAGATTTCTTATGAATATTGAAAGAACATTACAACTAAAAAATGACAGAGGATTTAGATGTATTTCTGCTCAGTGCATAAGCTAGAACTAAAGATGATGAATGGAGTAATAACTAAGAATGGTAATTCTAATGAAGGAGCGTTTTTGGTGAAAATGCTTATTTATAGAATATTCACTTTAGTTTTTGAATTTTTCTTCTTTCCATAGGTTGAATGCTGTACAATATTATGTTCAAGGCCGGAACCAAGAACGATTAGCTGAATGTTATTATATGTTGGAAGATTATGACGGATTGGAGAATCTTGCCAATTCACTTCCAGAAAACCATAAATTACTTCCAGTATGTATTTATAAATTTTAGTTTTGGGAGTTTTTAGGTTATTTTATAAAGTTTTTATATGGTAGTCATATTTTAATTAATCTATAATTATATAGTGTCTTAGACATCGAATGATACACTTTAATTATTATAACAGTATATTCATATTAGAGAATTCTTGAAAATGGAAGGAAAATTCCATCATATCTTACTACTGTAATATTACAGTGTTGTGTGGTCCCTCTAGTTGTATAAAATTACTTTAAAAGTTACCCAAGTATGAAAGATTTACAGATGAGCTGATCTGTTGTCAGGGATTGGATTGGGGTGTGGGTAGGGTGGGGTAGTAATATGATATGGGGTTTGTGCTGGAGCCTGACAGAGCAGAGTAGACTATGATTAAATTGAGAGAATAAAAGAGTACAGTACGTTCAAATCCACAGTGAGACTCAGGGCAGGACTGGTTTTATACACAGCCGTGCTTTAGGGAGGAGCCCTGGTGGTGCAGTGGTTACAGGTTTAGTGTCAAGGGTTGCTGTGAGTCAGAGTCTGCTCATGGCAGTGATTTTGTTTGTATGTTTTTGAGGATGTGTTCGCATCCTTTCTGAGTGGTTGACTCTGCTCCTATGTTTATTTGGAAGAAAAATCAGTGTCTCTATCAATATGTGTAAGGAGTCGTGGTGAAACGTGCTCACAGTTAGTTTGGCTGCTCCCTGAAACGGTGTTGGTTGGAACACACTCAGCCACTCCAGCTGTGTGGGGGAAAGCCCTGGTGATCTCTGTGTCACATGGGTTGCTGTGAACAGAAAATCGATTTGATGGCCCCGAACAATAATAACATGTAAATGTCTTATTGTTAAAGCCCATGTAAAGCTTTGCCAAATTATGATGTGATTTCCTTGGTTTATGAAATCTGATAGTAATATTTTGTGCCTACAGGAAATAGCACAAATGTTTTTGAGAGTTGGAATGTGTGAACAAGCTGTTGCAGCTTTTTTGAAATGTAATCAACCAAAGGCAGCCGTAGATACCTGTGTCCATCTGCACCAAGTAAGCAACTGAAACGTACGAGCGGCTTATTCTCCTACCCGTGTTGAAGTCAGAGCAAGATTTAAGTCACCCCAGTCATCCTTTAAAGATGGTTGCCTCTATAAGTTGGGGAGCTCCAGGCAGATTTTATGACAAAATTCAGTATTCCCTTTCTTAGCTGGAGACTGAGGACGTGTTGGAGTTTGCACTTCCCTCTTACACTGTGGCCATGAGGGGTGACCCACCCATCACTGAGTCAATATGGGAACATGAACAAGCCCTTTGCCTTTAGTCCGGCTAAGTTTTTGTCTGGAAGTAATTTCCTCATTTTCTGCATCTTATTAGAGTTGGAGTTTGCTTTCAGAGAAGGACGAGTTAATGGTTGTTTTCAACAGATAGAATTAGGTTACGTTATCAATATTTATTTTGGAAAATTTGCTTTCTTTCTCTTTTTAGAAAACACACGATACTTTTAAGAGCTGAAATTTAACTAAATTCAAAGTACAAAATTCTGATAGAAATTACTGACACTGAAGTTATTACTCTCAAGTTGCAATGTATTTTGAAAAGTATTTTATAAAGATCCATGTAATTTATAAAAATCTGGTGTTAAATCGGATAGGTCACGTTCTTAATTGATATGCATATTTACCTTCTGGAAACAAGTCTTATCTTTGTTCTTGCACATAATTTGTACAAAATTAAAATGGCAAGATGTAATTAAAAATTGAGACATTTTCCTTTTCAATTATTTCTTAAATCAAAGTCATTTAGCCATTTTGATATGTCTAGCCCATAATTTTGCTGATTTTAATGTTCTTTTAAAATACATGCTTTTAATTTGAAATGTTGCTGTTTATTATCATGCATTTAAAACGTTACTGTGTGAGTTGTATACAGGCCTGTGTGGCAGGGTGTAAGTGAGTAACTGTTCTGTTCCCCCACCCCCCAGTGGAACAAAGCTGTGGAACTGGCTACACATCATAGTATGAAGGAAATTGGATCCCTGCTCGCTAGGTACGCTTCTCACCTCTTGGAAAAGAATAAAACTCTTGATGCCATAGAACTCTATCGGAAAGCCAATTACTTTTTTGATGCAGCTAAGCTGATGTTTAAGGTAATCTAATCATTTTGGTGGGTATTTGGTTTGTTAAGTTACAACTGTTTTCTTATATCCCAAGGAACATGGTTTCCATTTTCCTTGTAAACAGATATTTGTGGCAGCAAGACTACTCTGGTTTCATTATTGCGATACTTTGCGTTTCCTTAGTGTTATGACCTTTTACCAGCAAGGTTACTTATTAGTACCAGCACCTTGTTGATACTTAAACAGTTGTATCTTTACTGGGTACTAACGTTAACACAGAATTCTAGAATTTGCAGGAAACATGAAGCACAAATTCCCTTCACTGATAATGTTAGCCCTGCTGATATTCAAAATAATTTTGAAGTCTTTTGAATGTAAAAGTCAAAAAAGACTACACTTTTCCTAATTTATATTTGGAGAGAATATGCACATTTATAGTAAAAGTATTTGCAAATTTTATATTCTATTTTTCCTTTTGATTTAATAAAAGGGAAACATTTGCTTGAAAATGTTTAGATACATTTAAATTTCTGAATAAGTATGATGTTGACACCGTTATATCTGAATGTGTGTGGCATTATTTTTAATACCTCTATGGTATGAAAAATAGTACCCCCTCCATGAAAGCTTTCTGCATTCCGATTTGGTTATCTAACAGTCTTCATATATTATGATGTTAGTATGAGTTCTATTTCCAACGGCTAAAAGTAAGGAGAGAATTAAGTACTAATAAATACTAAGGAAAAAACAACCCATTTTTAAAATATATTGTCAGTAGATAACTGTGCTATTATATCCTATTCTGTATCTTCCTTTTTCAGAGAATCAGATTATAGTGATTTTAAAAAATGCATAGTTAATTTGGGAAATGAATATCTTCATTCAAGTATATCATATTAACATACATCTTGCTCAAATCTGTTAAAGATTGCAGATGACGAAGCAAAGAAGAGAAGCAAGCCTCTGCGTGTGAAAAAGCTCTACGTGCTGTCTGCTCTGCTCATAGAGCAGCACCACGAGCAGCTGAAAAGTGCCCAGCGGGGAAAAGCCAAAGGAAAGGGTTCAGAGGTAAAGCGCAACATCAAATACTGTGAAGAACATGGAGTCCTTGGAAACATTTAACAAAACATAATTAGGGCGTAGAATGCCTAGTGGGGGTTGATCAAGTGAATTGTAGCTGAAAGAAAGTAGCAGAGTTGAATGAAGGGCAAACATAATAGTGGGATAGGAGGAAAGTAAAAAGAAATAGAGGAAAGATCTAGGAGGCAAACGACATTTATAGATGTACAAATATAGGCATTCACATGTATTAATATATAACTATATTAATAGGGATATAGGTCTATGTACAGCTATTTAAATGTTAAGTATTCAGGTAGCAAAAGGGCATTGGGCCTCTATTCAAGTACTCCCTCAACACAAGAATACTTTGTTCTAATAACCTGGCATTCTGTGATGCTTAATCTTCCTGACGTGATCACTGAAGTCAAAATAGGTGCATAAGCAAATGTGAAAAAAGCTGATTGTGCCTGGCTATTAAAAGATAGAGCGTCTGCGGTCTTAAAGGCTTGAAGTTAAACTAAGTGGCCATCTAGCAGAGAAGCAACAAAGCCCACATGGAAAAAGCACACCAGCCGATGTAATCATGAGGTGTCAACAGGCATCAGAAGACCCCAAACAAACAAATATATTGATGCAAATCATGGGGGTTGGAGAGGAAACCCAAAGCCCATCTGAAGACAATTGGACATTCCCTCACAGAAGGGTTACAAGGAAGGAATGAGTCAGCCAGGGTGCAGCATAGCACTAGAACATACAATATTCCTCTAGTTCTTTAATGCTTCCTATCCCACCCCACCCCTGCACTATCATGACCCCAGTTCTACCTTACAAATCCAGCTAGACTGGAGCATGTGCACTGGTACAGATAAGAGCTCTTGACACATGGAATCCAAGACACATAAACCCCTTAGGAACAGTAATGGGAGTAGCGATACCGTGAGGGTAGGGGGAAGGGAGGGAGAGAAGGGGAGAAATGAGGAGCCATCTTTAATGATCGATGTATAATCCACACCCCAGGGAGATGAACAACAGAAACATGGGCGAAGGGAGACAGTGTAAGATATGACAATAATAATAATTTATAATTTATGAGGGGTCCATGGGACGGTGGGGGAGGGAGGAAAAAGAGGAGCTAATGCCAAGGTCTCAAGCAGAAAGAAAATGTCTTCAAGATGATGATGGCAGCATACGGACAAATGAGTTTGATACAATTGATGTGTGGATTGTTAAAAGAATGTAAGAGCCCCAATAAAATGATTTCTTAATGAAAAAATTACTGTCAAGCTTCTCTTTATAGACAAGTAATTTGTGTATTTCTATTTATTGTCTTAAACAATATGAGGAGAATTAATAGAGTTAATCTTCAAACAGAAATTTCTACTTAGAAATATTCAAAACTGCTTCTTCTATAAGTCTCGTCTATTGTCCTTGTTTAAATTTATTTTTGTTAAAGATCTTTTTCACTCACTTGGTAGAAAATTCCTTCCTAGTTAGTGAGTTTTAAATACTCTCCTAGAATACATATGCTATTTTAATGTGTACTATAGGTTAATCCTCTATTAAAATTTAAAATTTGATCATAAAATTGGGGCCTGTTGCACAGTGGGTTAAGCCTTGGAGCTGCTAAGTGCATGGTCAGGTGTTTAAAATGAGGCTGTCTGCTCCCATGAAGATTTACTGTCTTGGAAACCTACCGAACAGTTCTTCTATCCTATAGGTTTGCTGTGAGTCAGCATCGTCAGTGTGTTTTGTTTGGTTGTATACATAAAAACAAAAAAAACAAACTCCCTCGCACTGAGTGAATGTCGACTCATAGCAGCCCTGTAGAACAGGGTAGAACTGCCCCTGTGAGTTTCTGAGACTGTAACTGTTTATAGAAGTAGCAAGTCCCATCTTTCTCCAGAGCGGCTGGTGTTTTTTAAATGCTGACCCTGTAGATCGTAGCCCAACACATAACTTCTGCACCACCAGGGCGCATAGGATTTGATAGTTCTAATTTAGCAAAAGGTGAGTTATAATAGAAAAGTTACCCTTTTCAACATTTTTAATAATAATACCTGCTCCTATAGCTATTTTCGGGTATAAAAAATTCAGACAGTGTCTTGACTACTAGGCTTGTTCTGTGGTAGTCAGTAATGTGCATGTGTTCCTGCTAACAGAGTGTGTGGGTGCCTTTATTTTAGGTTACTTCTGCTTTGGCTGGTTTGCTGGAAGAGGATGTTCTGTCTACATCCAGTCATTTCACAGACAATGCTTGGAGAGGGGCTGAGGCATACCACTTCTTTGTCCTTGCACAGAGGCAGCTCTATGAGGGATATATGGACAGTGCCTTGAGGACAGGTGGGTATAATAGATCATGCTTACAGGTAGTACGTCTGAGAAATTATCCATTGAACATGAAGGACAACTTCACTTTGCCTTGAAATTTATTTCAGTATTTTTATATGGATTTACTTTCATAAATTGGAGAGTATACTGTATATGAGGGGCTTCCAAACATTCTTGGGAAAAAATGCTATTATCTTTTAATTCCATAAAATTTCTGAAGCCCCTTAATCCCATTAAAAATATTAATTTTTAAAAATTATATTTTCCATAAATGTTTTTAAAGAAAATTATTTTATTGAGGGCTCGTCCATTTCTTATCACAGTCCATACATACATCCACTGAGTCAAGCACCTATGTACACCCGTTGCACTCATCAATCTCAAAACATTTGCTCTCCACTTTAGCCCTCAATATCGTTTGTTCATTTTCCCCCTCCCTTCCTCCTCCCCACTCCCCCTCCCTCCTGAACCCTTCATAATTCATAAATTATTATAGATTTATCATAAGTTACCCTGTCCGACATCTCCCTCTGCCCTCTTCTCTGCTGTCCATTCCCCAGGGAGGAGGCTATACTTAGATTCTTGTAATTGGGTCCCCCTTCTATCCCGAGTTCCCTTCACCCTCCAGGCCTCGCCCCTCTCACCGCTGGTCCTGAAGAAGTCATCTATCCTGGGTTCCCTGTGTTTCAAGTTGCTATCTGTACCAATGTACATCCTCTGGTCTAGCCAGATTTGCAAGGCAGAATTGGGATCATGATTTTGCATGGGAGGAAGCATTAAAG